TAAATTATTTAAATTATTTAATTCAGGCCAATTAATTTAAATAATTTAAATAGGCTGGATTTAAATTATTTAAATTATTCAAATTATTTGAATTATTTGAATTATCTAATGTATTTATATATTAAACAGGACGTCAAATAGACCCTAAAGGTATCTCGATCATATATATATATATATGTTATCAAGCGAGTTAGTCCAACCGAAGGCGGGGTAAGTGCACCTTAATCATATTACACACGCAGAAATGGGATATAAGCTGGTGGCATGCGGAAGCCAATCTGCAATATGTTAAAGCGATCTCTTTACTGAGATGTCGTTTCTAAAGTTGTGGTGCTTCAGGCCTGATCGACTTCCCGTCCTGAGTTGGAAATACAACGGCTTGTGGCCTGCAAGCACGACGTCCATTCCGTGTTGTGGGACCTACTGAGGTCTCAGTGCAAAGTGTACAGCTAATGTTAGAGCTAATGCTTTCTCGTTGTCCTCAGCCAAGCTGAACAACTGCCTGCAGTGGCCAGCCTTCTTGTCCTCAGCCAAGCTGAACGACTGCCTGTAATGGTCCGAATGCAGATTACGCATAACATGCATGAAACGGTCTTTAGCCATTCCCCTGCAGGGTGTGCTTCGAGATTGCTTGAATTCGGTGGCCAGGTGGTATACACCGACGTAGCTTTGGACCCATACAACTCGCTAGGCAGCTTCCAGCAGTCTTCACACGATGCTTTGCATGCAACGGAAGCCGGAGCTGCTGCGAGCTTCTTGGCTTGCAGGACATGATGGAATTGTGCGCTCGGATGGGGTGATCCTGAATGACGAGACGACACACACTTGGAGCAGATAGAATCATCTTGGTGTAATTTTTTCATCAGCTAGGCAACTTAAAGTGTAACCTTGCGCTGAGGATTGCATACCTCTGCAAACAGGCCGTGCGGGGAGCTCAGCAGAGTGGAGGACTGACCAGACGCTGAGGATTTCCACTTGAATGAGAAGCGGCCAGGTCACTTGTAACAGGTTGATGCAACTGGCAGGTTGTAGGAAAGACCCTGGGAGCCTTTGGAATGGGTCTGAAAATCAAACTACCTGGAGAAGGGATATTCAGTACAATCCATCTCCGCATGAATGCCATAAAACGGCGCTCAAAGATGCAAACTGTTGATTTGGAGATCGCGCAAGTTTCAAAACCATACAACGAATGAAGTCCAATCCAACAAAACTTAAACTTCTGGCGCCAGCAATGCCCGCGGGGAGCCAACGCGAGCGCATCTCTGAAGAGTGTGGCGCCAAACTGTGAGCGGTTAGTGTGGAGCAGTCTTGGGTCTTGGGGCGCTCTTCAAAGAGTTTTGGAAGGTGGCGACAGGAGCTTGGGCAACACAAGGAAGGGATACCTGGACGGTGGGGCGGAGTCCACGAAGACTACTTCATGACTTATGAAAGGAACTGAAGGATAGCTCCCAGTACTGCAAACTGCTCTCGAAGAGGATTTGCTTGCTCTCTGCTCAAATTTTGTGGAGTCAATGCTTGTTCTTATCTGAAATCCACTGCTTCGAGAATTTCCAACATACTTCCCACATCTTCCTGAATTTCTTGATGATTTTCAAGGTTTTGCTGCTAAATGGCTGCCTTGGGGCTGGGGGGGCCAGTTTCGGTGGGCTTCGGTGGGACAGCTTCACATTCAGATAAAATATCTCGCCTGAAAGAAACACTTTGGAACAATTGTGTGTGAACGGGGCTGTCAGAAACTAATTCATTGAGGTTTCGCGGACCAAACGGCTGCTGTTTTGTTGAGGATTTCTGGCGGAAACGGCTTGAAAAACAATTCCCGCCAAATGTTGAGGCATGCGCGTGTGGTTCTGCGAGTTCTACTGAAAGCGCCCAACTGGACACCCAAATCCCACCCGAACGGCCCAAGCCATCCAAAAAACTTTGCGAAACAAAGCAAAATTCATGCAGAAGCTAAGAAAAGCATGTGTCGAAATAAAGCAAACGGCGCCGACCGGCTTCTCTCAACTGAAAATGTATAGTAGACACTGTTTCCAAGCGAGGCTCTAGAAGTGATGATTCCAGGATATTCCAGGGACCTGACTCAGGATATGGGCCAAGGTCGCTTCAAATATGACAGCTGCAATGCCTTCGGACGTAAGCAATCTGACATTCTGTGCAACCTACATCATGCAACATCTTGGCTGGTAGGTAGTGCAGGATAACCTGCTGCAGGTCGCAAGCCGAAGCGGGCGCAGACTATGTGAGTGCTGGCCTGATCTTGTACAACTGTAAAAGTCTGCGGCGACCTCGCCTATGCAACAAGTTTGATCCGACTCCCTCCCAGGCCCCAGTGACATGATGGACGGGCGAGTTGGCATATAGCTCAAAGTGACACGCGTGCTGGAGTGGCGACGCTGATGATAGACTTCTTGCTTGGAGTCAGCTTTCCAATCGCAAGGTGCAATCCGTGACGCGCTTGATGACGCCGGTTTTACCAACGTGGGCATCATGGTGGGCCACTGTGACTTTTCAAATTGTCCTTGGGCCCACACATCACAGACACTGACAGGCCTACAGCGCCAAGTATGCCTCGGCTTTCTATGGGTGTGCGCCTGAGGGCACGGAGGCCGACGGATTCCGTTTGTATGCGTGTCATGCGAGGCCTTTCAGAGAGGCCCTGGACTCGAACCCGGTGATAGCAGAAGATTGGAAGGCAATGAGCCTGTACTGGTCATTCCTGGTCGGGGAAAATGCCATCAAAGAATCAGGTGCCAAAGGGGAAGGAGACGTATCAGCAAGATCCGGCCTCTCGATCTGCAAGTCTCGCATCGTCATGACCAAGCCTGTTTTAGAGCCTAAAGATGATCAAGGCCAACTACAAGGAAGCATTGTTGGAGGCATGTTCTGACCTTGACCTCCACAAGCTGGCAGCTGTCATAAATAGGGAGAGTCCTAATATGGACCCCAAAATGCTACAGTATAGTCCTTCATACGGAGACCCCCGAAACGGTACTCCTAATTTTGGAAAACCCCAGCTTGGCTGCTTGAAGAGATGGCCAGGCCGCATTGGATGAAGAAGAGGGCGCGGACATCCTCATGGTCAAGCCAGCAATGCAGTTCACTCAAAAAGGTATTGAGGTTGTGACCAAATTTAGAACCAATCCATACTCCCACCGTGGCAAACTGAGAGAAGCTAAGGCCCTACCTCGACATCATCAAGGGGCTGCATGATCAGAGCAATTTGCCAATCGCCGCCTACCATGCCCTACCCTTGGCTTCAAGGGTGAGCAGTCTCAAATCCACGATAACGTGCGGTCATTCGCTGAGAACATGGGCCTGATAATTAGAACCAGTAAGTTGGAATGAACGAACTCAGGTCTCAGGTGAGTATGCCATGCTGAAGGCTGCCGCATTGAATGGTGCGGAACTTAGCCAACGTCTAGTTTCTTTTGCCACACTCAGTCCCAGTAACATCTGTGAGACTTTAGTAGGCTGGCTGGATGAGAAGGCAGTGGTTTTAGAGGCCTCTTTGCTGCAAGTTTGATGGCAGCTTGAAAGTACGGTGTACTATGGGCATTTAGCCAGGCTCTGCTCTCTATCAGACGCGCCGGTGCGACTGTTATCCTGACCTACTACGCCAAGCAGGCGTTGCTATTTGTCAGAGCGATGGGGCCTTACAGTCGAAGCCCTCCTGCTTGGTAGGCAGCGCGGTGGCTGCAGGAAGAGCAAGCCTGAAATGAGTTCCGTTCAGGAACGCACCATTTTTTCGACATGCTTACTGCGGTTTGTGCAATTTATCTGCAATGAAGACATAGAAAGCTCATACGCATTCATGTTCGTGGACTCGTGCATCCCTCCCGGCAGATGTTCCACTGGGAACACTGGCAGGGCCAATTACACAAACCATGCGCATCAAGCGTTGCATTCCATGCATGCGAAGTGCGCTAAAGTCAGCAGATGAAAACTGACAAGCCCTGACTGGCTACTAGGACTTGATGTTGATGTGGCTGCGGCAGGCATGAATAGCGCAAGAAAGCAGAACAAGCAAGCAAATATTGGCCAGCAATGCCAACAAACCCGTCACTTGGAGCAGTCTGATCGCCAGTGCTGTCAATACAGTACAGCTGCTTTCAGAGATGCAGTCGCTGTGGCTAGGCATGTTGCGGTTGCTTCTTGGCTACTGCCGCTGCACACTGCTGCCGTTTTCAAGTGTTTGTTTAGGGCTCTCCATATCCTCGGCGAGAGGATGTATAGTTTGTCTTGTGCAGCGTTTCTGGCGCGAACATGGCCGGCACAGACATTATCAATTATTATGCGGATCTCGGACTCGAGGACGACAAGGCTGACGAGGCAAGGGGGAGTTTCTCTGCCTGCTTTGGACTTTGTCTGCGCAGCTCTCGTATCCTTCAGGCAACAATCAAGAAAGCTTACAGGAAGCTGGTCCTAAAATGGCATCCGGACAAGCATCCTGAAAATCGGGAAGAAGCAGAGACGCAGATACGGAAGATCAACAACGCGTACGAGGCCGGAAATCAGACCGTGTGCAGCCAACAAGTTGAAGCAACTGCTCGTTGCCTTGAGTGAGGTTCTGAGCAACCCAACCAAGCGCTCGACCTATGACGATCAAAGACGAGCCGTCAAGAGGAAGAAGCAGGGTTTCGGACCACCGCCTCCAAGCGGCGTCCCTGCCTCACCTCCAGTCAGCTGGATGGTTCTCGTTGCCGTGTGTAGATGTCTTCGGAAACATGAGATTCACCAGGCGCCTCGTATGCGAATTCCGAAGGAGTTCATGATGATGCCGATAGGCACGGGATGTACATGTGAGTGAACTCGTTTGAGCGGCGGCTTCCAGCAAGGATTCCCAGACAGATTCGTCCGGTACAACGGCCGACGGCTCTTCGTGCACAGGCGAAAAGACGATCCCGATGTCGAGTTCAAGGCAGCTGTGCAACACTGTAGATCGACGCAGCCTTTTGTGCCATGCGAAGGCCTTCTTTGAAGACACCAAATGGTCACTTTGGTGGTTGCCCGAAGTGAACAACATGTGCCGAGTGAGGGCACTAGGATCAAGAGCTGCTGGGGAGAAGATGGGCGTTACCTGGCTACACACATACCTTGCTATGTGCAAACAGCGAAGCCGCTCCTGAAATTCTCAGACCTTCCCAAGGTTGCTGCAGGCCTCTGTGGAGGTTTGAACTTGTCCTTCTTCATCGATCCCGCCAGCTTCAGCCTTTCAAGCTGTCAGCGTTCACATGAGAGGATTTGATGGATTGAAAGCAGGGGCACAACCTGTTGTTCTGAGGCCCCACAGACTCCGAAGTGGGTTTGGAAGATGCTCGAAAAGGGGAGAAAGTTGACAAGGCTGATTGACTGCATGTCTGTCGGTTGCTGTTTTGCGCTGCTAGCGGGCGGGATGCAGGTCAACTTCATAGCCGTGACAAGTCCAGCTTACGAAGGGGCCTTCCGATTTGAAGCTGCATTTCGGCGAGGCGCAACCACCGACTGCATGAGCAGATAAGAACGCTCTCGCAATCACAGGCTTTTACCTGACCTTCCTGCCGCCAAACCACCTTCGGGTGGCACCATACGGTGAGGCCAAGGAAAAGAGCTAGCATGGGACTGGCATGATGCTCAAGCTGGTGCAGGAAGATGACCGGGGCATTGCAGACTTTGCGCTGGTGGACTTTGGGGTGATGTTCAAGTTCATTGAAATGGAGGAGGCGCAAGAGAGCCATCTCTAGGACGGCCTCACAGTGTCGAAAGTTTACACCGCTTGAGGTCCTCCAGCCTGCTGTTGCAGCTTACAAGGGGTGGGTTAAGCTGGAGCAGCTCCGGAAAGATCCAAATATTCTCTTGTATTTCTCCAACATTTTGCAGAAGCAAGCGTGGCGCTGAGCAGACAGGATGCCAACAGGCTTGCTGTTCCACTGTCCCACAGTTCGGTTCTCGCAGCTGAGGTCTGGGATAACGAAGATTTCATCATCTACTTCGAGGGCCACTGGGAGACCTGGGAATTCAAAAAGGAAACGCAATCTGTGAGGCATGCCAGCAGTTCCTGTTTGGGGTTTACATCTTCCGCAGCATTGGAAAAAGATTCGCACGCGAGGCTCCGGACGAAGGAGGAGAAGTTGGCCCAGATGCTCGCCACAGTGAAAGACATTGATGGGGTGGGCCTCAAGATTTCCTGCATTGGCAATTCGTGAAGATGTGGTTGCGTGCTGAAGGCTGAAGGAATGCGATTGTTCACATGTCTGGCTTTGCGTGCAGGTATCTGCTGTGGTCGCGGGCGCGAAGGATGAGCTCACTAAGCTACCACTTCTTGCAGCAGCACGTGCGTTGGTGGTGTTGGCAGCCTCCACTCATGACGGTGAAGGGTCCGGTTCTCTGCCACACGTTGAGCGCTCATTCCCGCAGCCCATGGCATCGTCAGAAAACCGAGGCTTGACGTCACCAAGACCATCAACAGGATCGCCGCGCAAAAGAAGTTGCAGCACGGATGCAGAAGCAAGTAAGCAAGTCAACGGCTTCTGCATGCTGCTCACTTGTCCCCACGTCAATTCTTGATAATGCTTGAGGCTTTCGAATTTGCGAAACATCCTCGCGACCGCGACGAATGGAGGCGAAGTCGTCGCGACCCCAGTATGAAAAAAAATCGTTGAACCAGCACCTGACCGTCGAACGCCAAGCAGCCTCGTGAAGTGTCGGCCAACGGGACAACATTCATCAGCTCTCGAAATTCGTTATACCAGCTTCATGGTAACAGGTGAAGCTGCGGGCGCCAATGGGTATACTGTCCAAATTTCAGGAGTTGACACTCAGACTTTCTGCTGCCTGTATCATGGTGCTTAGCTCAGGGTCTGATCATTCAGTGAAATCAACAGCAGTTTTGCACAGTCAAGGGTGCCATGCTGGTCTCACACACTTTTGACAAGATGCTACTTGTACATGAGTTCTTTGTCTTGCACGCTTGCGCTTCTTTAGGATGGACTAAGACTTTCATCTTGTCCGAAATCTCTGGAAGAGGTCCTGCCCTTGAACGATCTGCTGGACATGGCAGATCTGGCTGGAGCAGTGGGCGGCGCCGGTGCGGAGCACAGACACTGGCAACATCTGTCAAAAGTGTGAGTTACCTTACAACTGCATTTTCATTTGCTTCCATAAGCCTGGAAGGTGCTGCCAGCGACCTGGTGCACACGCGGCAGGCAGCGCGACAACGTGATGGCCTAGATCAAGAGAACAGGAAACATAAGAAAGCAGCACCAGCTACAGACAACAACGCTTCTTCCTGCAATTCCTGAATCAACGATTGACCTGTGCCGCATTTTGAGACTTTTAGCAGCATCCTCCGACTAAGCCTGCTGGATCTACCACATATTCTTTCCGTGCATTTCTGTGCCATTGCTTGGTCATCCAGCAATCTTGTAATGGATTTTCCGTACTTTCCCAAATTCAGGCTGCGCAGCAAGCAGTGGCTGACATTGTGTTCCGTCAGCTCAGCGATGCAAAGTCGCAGCTTGACGTGCGGCTCGTAGCTTTATGTAACTCCTGGCAGTGGGGTGCGGCAGGCCCCTTGTTTCCCAGGTGCCCCTGCTGGGTCGAGTGCTACGATTGCCTGGGGCTGGCGAGGTTGATTCCACTCTGGCATCGATGTGCCCCGGATAACTCTGCTGGCGACTAATGCCGCTTGCTGGGCTGGAGCTCGGTATGCCAGAACTGAGGGCCAGCAGAAGCTGCTGAGGTGCCAGCCGCTCGTTGCGAGTGTGGGGCTGGAGCAAGCTCTGGAATTCGTGAAATATGCTGGTGCGTCAAGCTGCATAGAAGTTGCCCCAGCCTCAGTTTTAGCTGCCTCTTTCTAAGATAGCCAAGCATGTACACAAGTGCAGGCCAATACGTATGCAACTTCCGCACTGCTTATGATGGACACCAAGCAGCCTGAGCCGTCAGCAGAGGACAAGCGTGGCAGACTGGGACAATGGCAATGCGCATGCACAAGTTCACGAGTTCACGGCAGGAGCAGCTGGCCATCCTGCGGACCATCGGCTCTGCAGGCGCAGCTCTGGAAGACATCTCGGGGCGTTTGGCTCGGCTTGCACCCATCTCCGAGGCACTGAGGGACAAGTGACTGCGCGTAAGACTTAACATTCAGCATGTTCCGTCTGCACGGAGGCAGGCATGCTGGTGGACGTCGTCCTGGCAGTTGCAGACCGCGGCTTCAGCTCCGACGCTTTAGCTCTTCGACCCTTTTTTGGGCTGTCAGGTCTTGCCATGTGATTCCAGCTCATTGTGTTTTGGACCTCTCAGGCCAGCGCCACGCAGGTCTTGGCTACCAAGTCCTTTGCTTAGTGGTTGGTAAACGGAGAGCAACTTATCAGCCTCACGCATCAGAGCATCAGGCTCGGCAACACGCAGCTCCAACCAGCGCGTCTCCTGGAGCTTGCCGTGGCGTCCACCAAGAGCACAAGCCTTGCGCCAGTGATAGGGGCCGTGGTCGGGGCCATACGGAAAAGCGTAGCAAAGTTCGTGTTAGTCGCGGTGATCGCCTCCGCAACTTGCACTTGAGCAATGCTTAGGCCCGTGCAGTGGGAGCAAGTGCTACCACTTGGCCTGTTAGTGATCTCGTTCGCTTGCTTCTTGCGATGGCCAAAGCCAAGAAGGCACGAGACACTTGCAACCTGTGACTCGGGTGCATATTGGGCATGGCAAATTGCGCCAGGCTTTGAACGCAGAAGACAAAGCGATACTCCTGAAGCAGGCCGTGCGGGCCCTTCAGAATTTCAAGAATTAGCTGGCTGAGCGGATTGCAAGCTGCGCACGTGCGCGCTGAGGCAGAAGCTCTCAAACCAGAATTGGGATCCCTGCCAGCAGCTGACGTGATCAAGCACTTTGGCAAAAGTTTGTTCGAGCAACCAACACCGACTAGCACTTGATGTGTTCCTTTGAGATCGCCTTCCAATATCCCCCTTGGAATTAGCAAATGTTTGGTCACTTCGTAACGGGTCATTATGTGAAGTGGTTCTTACTCGGTTACTCGTGACAGCTAGGCCCATCATTTCATAGAGATCCTTTTGCTTGAAAATGAAGATCCTGATGCATGGGCCGGTGCTTTCTGGCACTGGTTGTGGACTTGCCTCCGGAAGTCTGACAGATATTTCGCCGACCATGTTTGACAGATTCAGTGCTTGTAATGTGTTCAAGATGCAGCAAGCTCACCAGTCATTCTATACAAGTTTATTAGGCCCTTCAAAGGTCGCCAGATATGTTGCGGTTGCTTTCCATTCCCAGTTTGGTCAGGCACGTAGGCCATTTTATAGTAGCCATGCTGCCTTGTCCCCGGTGATCAGCCCACCATAGCCCACCATAGAGTGATTTGGAAGTCGTGTGGTGATGTAGACAGGAAACCATTTGTTTGTTGTAAATCCTCTCCGGTGATATCAGAGAAAGGGGAGACTTCCGCGTGCTTTGCCCTTTACGGCACACCATTCATTTGGTGGACACAATTTCTCGATCAAAAGATGTTCCAGACTCTCCCCGGATATTGATGGGGGATACTTGGAGTAGTCTCGGAGGGCGAGCAGATAATTTCGCAAGGTTGGTCTTGGCAACTGCCGGGGATGGCTGCTCGGAGTTGTTGGAGGCATAGAAAGTTCTTGGACCTAGTCAGTGCTGATCCTGACTGGCAAACTGGCAAAGCATCAGGCAGCTGCAGAGGAAGCGATCGATCGATCGAAGCTCAGTGCGGTGTTGGTTCTTTTTCCCACCCTCAGCTTACTGGAAGATGTTATCATGAGCGTGTCAACGGGATGTTCGGCCTATCGGCACAGGCAGAATATCTGTGTTTCCGCCCGCCCAGCTGCTGATGCTGTCGCAGGTCGGATAACATTTCCCAGGCATTGCTTTTGCTGATGTGCTGATGTCATCGTTTGCCAGGGGCTTGTCACGGGCCTCGGCGCAAAGCACGACCTTGTGGCAAAGCTTTCCCCTTAGGCCCAGATGTGAAAGTAGCGCTTAGTCCACGGATTTGGCGAGTGGGACTTGCAATCACAAAAGGTCGGCCGCGATGGGCTTGTTGCAAGTGCTATTCGTTTCTTTCACATGGCTCACTGTGTTGGCACTCAGGCTTGTAGACTTCTGGTCTGAGACGGTCAAGGAATGGACAAAGGCTGGGAAGTCTTGCAGCATTGTGAGTGATCATGTCAAAGTTTGGATGCTCTGCAGGGCGCGGGAGGTGGTTGGGATAGCGACGATGAGGTGTGGCATGGCACAGTGGACGACGGACAGGACCACCAGACAGAACCTGCTACCGGCATTGTTTTTCCAGGTCACGAAGCAACGTCGAGAGCTGGAAAAGAAATCCCGCTTGTCGGCCGACCAAGTAGTGCAGCTGGCAAAGGTGATGGTCCAGCTCCAAGTAGTCTTTTGCTGCGTTTGACATTGAAAGTGTCATGGAGTGTTGTATTCTTGTACTGCTCCCAGGCGCCTACGGGGTCGAAAACCATGGTTGACGCCATCGGCGGAAACCTGATTGCTAGAGCAAAGGAGCTCACAGACAGTGGCCGTAAGGCGGGAAAAGCTTGACTAACTCAATGTGATCAGGCCGCAGATCACACACAGAAGATGACAAAAGACTAAGTGACTAGAGGCTGTCGACGCCCAACTAACAGACGGTGCTTTGGCGACCTACTCGCGGAAGGATCGGCTGAAAAGAGCTGTCGGGGACCTTAGCCTGCATCTTTCAAATGCGACCGTCCTGCCCGATCAGAAGAGGTTGCTGCAGCAGCCGGCAGCAACAGCCGGAGTCGAAGTCGCCGGCCCGCGGCTTTCTACTTTCATCGTCCGACCTTTTAACTGCCAACCTGTTCATGTGTAGGCGCAGCCGGAGTACCAGCCGCGATAGAGGGAGGCTCATATCATGGATGTGACTCGCACACGCTCGCTGTGTTGCAGCTGTTCAGGAGGCGGAGAAGCCGAAGTCGAAGCCGCCGAAGTCGAAGCCGCGATCGCGGCAGAGATCGTGACCGTAGATAGGGCACTCCTTGTAATACCTTGACAGATATCTTGCAAAATTTCCAGACTCTGCCCGACTCGAAACAGAAACCTCTTGTTGGTTGAGCACCCTAGCCTGCACCACCACATAGATTCCAACATCACAAAATGCCACTTGTATGGAGCTTTGCAGACCCTACCTCGTCTCTGATGAGTTTGCGCAAAGCTTCGTGGTGAAAAGGGCTGCCCGCTGCGCTCTAGCTCTTCTTTTAGCTTGTGATATTCGTCGGGCAGGAATTGTTCACCTGTTCACTTAGCGAGTGAGTTCACAAAGTGGTTTCATGAACACCGAAGGTGAATTTGCAGACTCTGTCTATGGGTCTATGCACTGGAAGCTTGTCGGGCAAAATCTCTGTCTCTGCGACGACTTGATTGGCTTGCGTGTCGGCTCAGCTGCACTTGTAGGATCACTGCCTCAAGATGGCATCCAGCGGAGATCTGCTGCATGTCTGCAAGCACAGCAAGCTAAAAGCCGTCATGACCTCACGTATTGTTGCATCTTCTGTGGCTGGTGCAGGTTCGAAAATGATGAGAATCTCCAGCCCAGCGCGCTCAACATTCAGGATGAGAGGGATTCACTTGACATCAGGTATCAGGTATTCGTCTGGGCTAAAACTTCCATGAGGAGCAGCTAGAGAACATATCCCTTGCGAACCTCTCCGCTCATTGGCCATGCCCACCTGGTGCGAGCGGTCAATTTAAAACAGATTCCGCGTCCTCATAATCCTCGACAAGTGTTCCTGCATTGGTCCGGTCTGCGTCTCAAGTTGCTCGGCAACCGTTGCGGCAGCATCATGGCGAATCGAATCTACGAAGCAAAGCTTCCATGGCCCAAGGCCTGAGACAAACAGCACAAATCGTCTAGCCGCCTAATTGTGCAAAAGGAACGGCAGCCAACCCCCCGGGAAACCAGAAATATTGCTGGTTCAATGTTTTTCCACTTTGCCTGGGTCCTAGTTTCCAACTGCCAGCAGCCGCAGGCTGTGGTCCCTTCGGAACACAACCCCACAGGTGAAGTAGCAGCACAATGTTCTCTTTCCAAGAACATGGTGGTCTGGCTGGTGCAGAACCGTTCATGCTGGTATGCAGAGTGGGAGCAACACCAAGATCAAGATTTTTAAGCATGTTGCTGAATGTTGCTGACATAGTCGCGATTCCAGGACAGGCCCAGTGATAGCGATCGAGCGCGATTCGGCTTCAAGCCTCGACTTGGAGGACAGCCCAAACCAACTCAGGCCAGGCAAAACTGGAACTTGCAGTAATTTTCTCTTACTGGTAGGCAGTCTGTAATGAAGAATCCTGGATCAATCCTCAAAAGCTATCCCCTTAGAAGCCTTATCAGCTATCCCCATATCCCATTCCTCTACGCTATATAATAGACACCAGCAGGTTGTTTTGAAGCAGACGTTGTGCAGCTTCCAGGCTACGAAGAAAGATGCCCAAACCCCGTGTTGCGGCGTTGACCTCCAGAAAGTGTTGAGAGATACACTCGGAGATCCAGACTCTATTCTTCCCGCCAGAATCTTACGCAACAGGTATTGAGGTCGCTCTGAATGTTCCATGGATTTTAGATACTGTTCGAGAGTCTGTGGATGAAAGGTACTGAAATTGAAGCCCACTGCTGGCAAATACGATTTCAAGGACAAGATAGCGGATCTCCAGGCAATGATATGCCCCCTGAAGAATGCATTATCAGACCAACGACTCAAAGCCATAGCTTTGGCTGAAGCCGTGGCCTTGGCTTCTGAAGAGGGGCGTTCCTGAGTGCCATCAATGTGGTGGATTGTCGTGGAAGCCGTCCTGACGATTTCGCTGGAACCGGTTGCCAAGGGGCTTGCGGCGGCCGAACAGGAGGTCAGTGCCAAGTGGACATCTCAGCCCACATATGTGCTATGGGCATAGCCTCAGCTTTGTGAAGACCAGCAGGGGCAGTAAACAGTTCACTGCGCTGCCCCCTTTCGAATTTATTGCCTATATGCGGAGCAATTATGAGGTATGGGGCAGTGAACTGGGTGTTGAGATACTGCTTTGATGATCTGCATGTTTGCATGAAGTCCAAGGCTGCGTTCCTCCAGAGAGGATTTGAAGGAGGCCAGGCATGTCAGCCAGCCCGCAAAGCTGCTCCAGTTTGCCGTGGATGTGACAACTCACGTCTTGTGATTCCTTCAGAAGAATTGGCATGAGAGTTCAAGAGATAAAGACGAGCGTGAGGTCACAACACAGCTCGCCTCCTTGCAGAAAGAAGCCGCAAGCCGCGTGCCGAGCCGACAGTCCAGACCCTTCAGACAAATCACTTTTGGCCGCTGGTGCACAAGTGCGCACTTGTGCTGCTTATGGTTAGCCGGCAGCTTTGAGATTCCGTTTGTGCGAGTTTGCAAAAGCCTTGCCTTAGATACCTCTGGCTCCAGGCCGAGAAGCAGTCCTGGAAAAGCAGTTGTCTCAAGAGTGCAGCCGAACCGCTCGCCTCCAACAAGACTTGGAAGAAGCAAGGCCAGCTCAATGGTTGACATGCTTTAGACTCAATACCTGTGCTGGACATGCTAGACAGGACCTTGGCATCGCGTCATGCGGATGACGTATCTTGTCTGCAGACGCAGATGCAGCCAGGCCAAAAGTCTCAAGAATTCCGCCAAACGCCAGGCCGCGTCCTCGCGGCGCAGATGCGAGGAGATGTCGGAGAGGCATCGCCGACAGATGGAAGAGGCGACAAGTCTTCCAGCACAAGCCTTCCTGGATGTCTAGGAATCTACCTCCTACTGCTGTCTGCTGGGGAGGCAGCAGCTTTGCTTCGTCTTCGGGTTGACGAGACGATGCAGGTACGTCGCGCGAATCAAACATGACTTTGCCTTCATGGTGCCAAATTGCCAAGTGCAGCACCTCAAACCTGCTTGGCGGCTATGCGTTGTCTTCTGAAAGTTCTGCGAGACGTGCAAGTTAATGTCAGGCGTCACAAAGAGATACTTTGTTCTGATGACGCTTCTGCTGTTGCGCACATGCTCTACTCTTGTAGATTGTTGTTCGGAACACCAACACATGCAGCAGACTTTGCATCGGGTTTCATGTTTCTGTGACAGGCCAAGGAGCAGCTTGTAGAAGCGCACAAGAAGAAGGAGGCCGCGCTTATTGCGGAGCCCCCAGGAACGATTTTCACCTAGATGAAACAGCACGTAGAGGGGGGGCTTTACATCTGAGGCGGATTTCAGCAAAGCCAAAGAAGCTCTGCAACACGAGCATCAGCGACGCTTGAGCGAGCTCGAAAGAGCGCAAGAATCCAAGGACTTGATATGTGGCCCTGCTGCCTGTCATGTTTTCTTGAGATCTGGCTGCCCCACCCAGGACTTTGAAGCCGCAAAAAGTGTGAGGCAGTTGGATGAAGCGCTCCGAGCCAAAGATGCCAAGCTGCACGAGAAGGCAAGTTGACTTATGATTTTTGACATGCGGGCACCTCATTTAGCATTAATTAGCGCTTGTAGGAACAGGAGATGGAGGACAGAATGGCTGGCCTCCATTCGATCCACGCGGCAGAGATCTCGGAGAGAGAGGGCCGGCAGAAACAGAAGGAAACTGCATCTGAACAGAGACCTGCACCACAATCACGCGATCCCATGGCTCAGAGTTTGTTTCTTTGCGGCCAGGAAGACGAGCTCCAAGCTGCTATTGAAGACTTGAAAGCAGCTCACCAGTTGACACTAGACGAAAGAGAAAGGAAGGACTGACAGCCCTGCTGGCAAAATATTTAGATGTTCAGCACACCGCCCTCCAGGAGGCTGATTGGAAAGAGACTATGGAACGCTTAGCCGCGCAGCACCAGCTGCAGCTGACAGAAAGAGACAAGCTGCTCAAGCGACAGGACTGAATATGAATAGCATCCATAGAATCACCCAGGAAGATGCAACGCAGACTGTTTCGTGATTCAGTTCTGGGCAGGAGCATGAGGCGAGTGAATGCATAGCAAACCTGAAGACTGATCATCAAAGCCAGCTTGAAGAGAAGGAAGAGCTTTTTCGGCGGAAGGCGCCAGGGTGCTGCGTCGATGCTTTGTTCAATGTTCAGCCCTTGCAAAGTAGGAAAGCGCGCTTCAAGCCAACGTGCAGTCGTTGCAGCAGCAAGCAGATGCTAAGGCTGCAAGCTGCTTATTTTTTGACAGGTTTTTGCAGTCGGTCATCTGGCGCGACGAACCGTGTAACATAGAGATCATAGAGCCTGTCTTGCAGGACGCATCTTCAGAGCGTGCAAGACTAGCATGGGAAAGCAGATTGGTCGACAAGGCGGGACACTCCCAGCGCACGTTTCATTTCAACAGTCCAAGAGCCTTCTAAGATGTTCTGGGAGGATGTTGCTAGCATGGGGTTGTTCTTGTTCTTGGCTCCTGCCCTCACGTAGTGACGTAGTAGCAGGATAATTGTGCTCGATATGGTAAGCTAGCCTACCTCGCGCCCGGCGAGGAGAGCGCCTGGAAACAGGCAGAGGAAGCGTTGCGACAGCAACTCGCTGCGAAGGACCTCACATGGCGGCTTTGCTGTAGACAGCGCTTAGATCTACTGCGTCAAGCTACAGGAGACAACGCTACACGAGACGTTGCAGTCGCTGCAGTTTCTCCGTGCCAGCACTACAGAGCAACTACAGTGGGAGCTGGGACCTTTCAAAAAGCAGCTGGGGTTCTTGGTGCGCATCTAGTAGACATGCTCAGGCGACAGCGTTCGCAGAGTTTAGAAGAAGAGGCACGGCTGAGCTGCACGAGCTCGGTAAGCTCGGAAGCTGCAGGTATTGGATCATAGCGTGTCCGTAACGGCGTTGGGTGGCGGATCAGCCAACAGGATCAGCCCATGGGCATAATGGATCACTGGCTTCCAGCCAACTGGATCACACAATCTGCACGTAACAGCTCAGGCCAGATCAGGGAGCCAACAGCAACAATTACTGGTGACACTAAACCCCAAACCCTAAGTCTTTCACTGCAGCCATGGCCAAGTGAATTTCTAAAGCAATATAATGCATTCCAATCATAAACCCCATATAAGCCCTAAATCCTATACATACATACATACATACATACATGTACATACATATCCCTGTATACCACTACGTGTCCCTTTACAGGGGCCTGATTATGGGGTATTTGGCCTCCTGGGCTTGGCTTCGAAAAACAGCATCCTTGCCTTTAAACCTGGTGTTGCGGTTTAAGGTTTAAGGGCGTAGGGTTTAAGGGGATAGGGTTAAAGGGTGTAGGGCTTAAGGCTTTTAGGGTTTAAGGGTTTAGGGCTTAAGGGTTTAGGGTTTAAGGGTTTAGGGTTTAAGGGTTTAGGGCTTAAGGGGATAGGGTTTAAGGGCTTAAGGGTTTAGGGCTTAAGGGTTTAGGGCTTAAGGGTTTAGGGTTTTAGGGTTTAGGGTTTGAGGGCTTACGGGTTTAGGGTTTAAAGGGTTTAGGGCTTAAGGGTTTAGGGTTTAAGGGCGTCTTGCTGCGCGGCGGCTGGAGGTAACATGTAGAAATGGCGCCCCGACACACCCAGGGGTTTTGGGGGGGCGGCACATCTTTCGTAGCCAACAAACCAAGCATCGGTGTGTTGGTTTAATTCTTCCCACCCCCTGCTTACGCAGGCATCCGCCCAACTTTATTCCTTTTCGGGTTTCGGGCTGACGCCCTAAATTCCCACTCTTCTTTCATTTCTTAAATAAACAACGGGCCGCGGGTCACGTGGTTGATTGGTTTGGTAGTGGGTGTCGCGTTTCTTTGGGCTATCGTTCCTGTG